AAAGCATGAAAGCATTAAATATTTATCAGTATCGATCGAGGGGGTCAGGATTTTACAGCCGTCCTCGCACATTTCATAGATGGGATTCTTTTCCTTTTTTTTTTTTTCTTTCTTTTTTCTTTCCTTCTTTCTTTCTTTCTTTCTTTTTTTTCTTTCTTTCTTTCTGTCTGTCTGTCTGTCTTCCTTTTTTTTTTTTTTTTTTTTTTTTTTTTTTTTTTTTTTTTTTTTTAATTTAGGAACCTGCGCCGCGTTCTCTTTTTCTGCTCTTTATTGATTTCCGCGACGTCCGTCTCTGCGAGGAGGGCTAATAGATTTTCATTCAGATGGGTCCCTCCGTCCCGGCGATGGATGGCTGCCACGGACCCACCCGTCGGTGGCATTAACGCGGGGCAGGGGCTGCTCTTCCGTCATCAGTGCGCCGCTTCTTCGCCTCACTGCCACCTGAAAGATTTCTTTGGGGGCCGTGAAATGGCCCACAGGGTGGGGGGACTGGAGGACGCATTAAGGAGAACGCATTCTTATATTAAGTCTTTTTTAATAGAGTATTTTGGTTTTGGTAGCTTCAGCGGAAAGATTTTTTTTTTTTTCCTTTAATCTGTGGCGACATATGGTGAAAATTAAACCGTTTCCTCGCGAACCTCGTCTTAAAACATTTCTGTGGAAGTTTTATTTTTAGGAAAACGTTTGCAAAGGAGAGAGAGAGAAACGACCTCGGACGGAAAGCGAACGGCGGAGGGGCTGTGGCCGGGGCTGCCCGAAGTGCGCTGCCGTCGGGGCCCGACCGGTGGGTCCGTACGGAGCGCTCCGGCAGGGGGGGGCTGCAGAAGCGAATGGAGTGCGGCAGAAACGCGGAGGGCTTCGTTCTCGTTAGTCCGACTCGTAGAAATGCAACCAAAGGGGTACATCAACTAAGCGCGAAAACACACACCCGAGCGATCCCCCTGATTTCGGTAGCTCGGGATAACTCGAGAGGAATTGGAAGAGTCTGTCAGGAAAATAATAACGACAACAATAATAATAGCAATAATAATAGCCGGAGGAAAAAGGAAAAAAAAAAAAAAAAAGAGAGAGAGAGAGAGGAAAAGTTCTGAGCCGCAAAGTTTGCGTCGATGGTAGGGACGCAAAATGCGCGCAGAGGGCCGTTCGCCTCCCCCAGCCCTGTGCGAGGGACGCTGCAGCGCTGAGCTCTGTAATAATGATTAATAAGTCAAAAGGGCATATTTTGCTTTTACGGTATGCAGCGCTCCAGGGAATATTCGGCGTACGGCTTTAAAACGAAGTAGGGATATTTACACACATGCACGGAGTTAGCAACAGCACCAAAGGCAGAAAAAACCTCGAATATTTCAGCGAACTATTACATTTTTTCAATTATTTCCCAATGAGCATTTCAATGAACTGTTACATTTTCCCAATTCGCAGGGAAGATTTATGGGATTATTAAGATTTCTAGTGGAAATATTATCCAGTGGAAGTTTATCGTCTCTCAGGGGCTGTACACCATTTGATATCAATTTCCAGATGTTATGATCTTTTTTCAGAAAA